GCCTGCTTTGAGTGCACTGGATAGGGTTTGGTCCTTGTGCTGCTGAGAGGCCTACAGTCTCTGTGGGCTTGTAGCCGGGTGGGGCAGCAGTAAGGCTAGCTGTCTACAATTAACCTCTGCAGAGGCACAGCCAATGGCAGGGCTTTCTCTCTGTTTGGTCCACAGAGGCTTTTATTGATGGGTGGGGCCAGGAACTAGATTAGGTATTTGCAGTCAGCCTCTTTACCATAACTGTGGGCATACTGACCAGTAGGGCGCTCTTTCTTTCTCTCTCTCTCTCTGCATAGCTGCTAAAAGGCTTAGTTGCTGGAATTGTAGGTATGCTGCTGTGTGGAGTTATCTCTTCCTCTCTCCAGGGCAGGAGTCATTTTAGAGTGGCACTGATCCCTACCAGGGAAGATTGTAGGATGTAATTGGTAGGAGCTGCTTTGTAGGGATATCTGCAGAGGCAGGTGGGTTGGATGGGGTATGGCACACAGTGCTAGTAAGATAGGTGGAGAGTGTTAGGGCTGGTTTGCAAGTGTCCAGCTATCTAGGCTGGAGGATGGGAAGAAAAAAGACATCCACTAACATTTGTTCTTGGAGAAAACCCTGAAGATCTCTGCCTCTCCATGTACATTCTGAGATTAGTAAAATTTCAAACTACTGCTTCTATGCTGTGTCTCATTTGGGGTTGTTTATTATGCTGGATCTTTAAGGGCAGAGATTCAGTTTCCTATTTCCCTCTGGCTTTCCTGAGTTAAGCTCCACTGGTTCTTAAAGCCCTGTGTAAATGGAGATTCTTCTTCCCAGAGTGGAACTCCAGTGCCTGGGATGTCTTATATGGGATCTAATCTTCCTTCCCCATGCTTTTGGTATCCCCTTCATTTGTGTTTAGTATTACCAGGGGTTTGGTTCTCAACATATCTCTGCCCCTCTTATTCAAGAATGGCCTCTTCTCTACAATTAACTATGGAAAGTCTATTCTGCCAGTCTTTATTAGATCATTTTCAGAGTTAGTTGCACAGATGTAGTTGTTATCTTGGTATGTCCATGGGACAAAGTGAGCTCAGGATCCTCCTACTCTGTTTCTGATTTTTCCATCATTCTATACTCTAAGCCCATGCAGAAGTTTTGTACATTCTGTCACCTCTATATTATTGATTTTCCCTTCCTTTTTCTTCTCATTAACATCTTTTCTGTAAGAAACTCAGCTCAGATATCATTTCCTCATTAAAATTTTTCATTACCTATGTAATTTTTTCAAATACCGTCACAGACTCTCATATTTCCCATGCTACTCTCCTTCATAACTCTGAAACAGATAAATTTTTTTGTTTATTACTGCTTTAAAGATTCTCTACTAGACTGTAGGTATCATGGAGGAGGAGCTTTTTCTGCATATGGAGTAGGTTCTTAGTAAATTTTTGTTGCATAACTTACAGCCTGAGTGCTACTTTCTGTGTCATTTAAAAATGTTAGGGACAGGGACCCTGGGTGGCCTAGTTGATTAAATGTCCGACTCTTGATTTCAGCTCAGGTCATGATTTCAGGGTTGTGGGATTGAGCCCCCTTTGGGCTCTTCACTCAGCGGGGCGTCTATTGGACATTCTTTCCCTCTGCACCTCCTCACCATGCTCTCTCTCTCTCAAATAAACAAATCTATACCAAAAAAGTCAGAGCCAAAGTTATTCTTTATGCTCGTTTATAGTATATTTTAGTTTTTTGAAAGGGATATCGGATTAGGGCCATAAGATCATCATCACTGATTCTGCCTAGCTATTCTATTTTAATCAACATTAAACTTGATTAAATTTTGTATACATGTATGGATTTATGTCTCTTCCTCTAAGTTCTAATATTGGTTTTGTTAAAATGTACTCTTCTATTCTTAGTGGTATTCTTTGTTCTGGGCCATATTTCTTGCCTTCTTATATCTTATCTAATTGGCTAATAGCTTTCAAGACCCACTATACCTTTAATACTCACTGTTTTCAGTATATACATTTATTCTTATGGTTTTCATTATTAAGTATTTGAATTGACATTTTGCTTTTTATTTAACATTTCATCTTTGGCAACACCATGTTTTAAAATCTATGTGACATTCTCATTTCATTGTCTATTACAAGAAATTTAACATATTCTCTTTCCTTTCAAATAGTTCCTTTCTAACCATGTTTCATGTTATTATATTGCAATTTTGTACTTTTCAAATTAAATTCTTCTTCCCTTCCCCCCTTTTTTCCATTTAATTGTTTATATGAAACCATGCATTAGGGCTTACAAGTTTTTCTTCTTCTTGATTCCTTGGATTTATATCTTTGCTTACATCTCCCTATCTAAATTCTTATAATACATTATTAGTTATTTTTTACTTAGCTATCTTTTTCTTTGCCAATACACTAATTTCGCCCATTTTCATGATATTGTTTACCTTGTCAAAAGTCTACCATTGTAACCTCTTGCTGTTATCAAATCCCTAGTTGTAGATGCAGTCATTAAGGTGATTAATTTATTTTACTTCTAATTCATCAATCTCAGAAATGTTTGATTTTTTTTTAAGATTTTATTTATTACTCATGAGACACACAGAGAGAGGCAGAGACATAGGAAGAGGGAGGAGAAGCAGGCTCCATGCAGAAAGCTGGATGCGGCACTTGATCCTGGCTCTTGAACACTCTGGTGTCCAAGTACCAGCAGTACCAGGATGCTACGGCCAAGGAGGAGGGGGAGTTCGAGGAGGAGGTGGCCTTGAGCTGATACCTGGTAAAGCGCGTGAAAGCTGTGTGAACTCTATTCGCTCACAACCTGTTCTCTGATAGCCATGTTTCTGTGTGCACTCACTCTTTTTCCTGTCTGGATGTCACATGCTGTGCAGACGCCACCATTTTCATAGTGGAAAAAAAAAAAAGGCGTGAGCCAAAGGTGACGCTCAACCACTGAGCCACCCAGGTGCCCAGAAATGTTTGATTTTTACCCTGAAATAGAGAACCTTTGATCCATATATTTTAACCTACTTGCTATCTCTCTAATTTAATTAAATTTATTTCTGGGTCCAGGTAGTACTTTAAAGTTTTTATTTAAATTCCAGTTAACATATAGTGTAATATTAGTTTCAGGTGTACAATATAGTGATTTAACACTTCCATACAATGCTCATTGTTCATCACAAGTGAACTCCTTTATTTCCATCATCTATTTAATCCATTCCTTCACCCACCTCCCCTTTGATAACTATTGTTTGTTCTTGATAGTTTACCGTCCATTTCTTACTTGCCTCTCTTTCTTTACCTATGCTCAAATTCTTACATTTGAGTGAAATCAGATGGTATTTGTCTTTATCTGACTGACTTATGTCTCTTAGCATTATTCTATCCATGTCATTGCAAATGGCAAGATTTCATTCTTTTTATTACTGATTAATATTCCATCGTGTATATACTATATCATATCATCTTTGTCCGTTCCTCGGTCAATGGACATTTAGGCTGCTTCCATAGTTAGGCTATTGTAGATAATGCTACTATAAGTACTGGGGTTCATGTGTCTCTTTGAATTAGTATTTTTATATTCTTGAAATAAATACCTAGCAGTGCAATTGTTGGATCATTGGATAATTCTAACTTTTTGAGGAACCTCCATACTGTTTTCTCAAATAGCTGTACCAGTTTGCATTCCCACTAACAGTAGTAAGAAGCTTTCTCTGCATCCTTTCTCTGCATCCTCGCCAACACCTATTGTTTCTTCTGTTGTTGATTTTAGCCAATCTGACAAGTGATAAGTCATTGTAGCTTTGATTTGTGTTACCCTGATAATGAATGATGTCAAACATCTTTTCATGTGCCTCTTGGCCATCTGTATGCTTTCTTTGGAAAAAATGTCTTCAGATCTTCAGCCCATTTTTTAATTGTACTATTAATTTTTGGGGTTTTGCATAATTTCTTTATTTTGGACACTATCAGATATATCATTTATTAAATATAATGTGCTCCTTTCCACCTGATTTTGTATATACTACTATTCTTTTATATACATACACACACACACACACTACTATTCTTATCTGAAATATAAATCTGCAGCATTTCAAATGGAAGGCAAGTAAGAAAATCCTTGCCAATACACACACATACACATCATACTCTCCAGAGATTGGACTAAGTTTTAAGTAAGTTCCTAATAATTAGGGAAAAATTATTTTACTAGACCTTAAACCCTCAGGGGAAAAAGACCTTATTAAGTAACATGAACTTATGGATCTAGAACATATGCAGCGTAGACTAATATTCAGTGCCCTCTACTACAGTACCTGTTACATCTGGTACCTAAGAAGTGCACAATATATTATAACTATAAGAATTCTTAATGTGGTTCTATACTGATACTCATTTTAAATATTATAGTGAGCCTGAGGATATGAAATTTACTGCATGCATAAGTCTGTATTCCCATTATGTTCTCTAGTTAAGTTTACATAGGAAATTATCTGAAACATATGTAATCATACACACAGCAAACTCATCTTTCAATTACACCTACCAAAAAATCACAAATACTTGCCTGTGTATTACCTCACTAGGAAACACATGTCAAAATTACTAAGATATTTTAACATTTCTATTATGTAAATATTTACATGAAATTGTACATAGATAAAACACCTGACATGCTTTAATACATTGACGAAGTCAATTTAATGAATACATTTTCAATTTGATATAATTCATTCTCTCCATATTAGCAAAGTGGTGTCACTGTGGAATTTTAGAATTACAGAAAAGACAATGAATTTATTCAAGTAAAATTCTACTAGTATTCATATTCTGCTTTATAGATAAATATTCTTAAAAGACCATTCTTGTTCACGTGATCCTTATTTATATTTTTATGATATTTATTTATTTATGATATTTTATGATAATTAAGTGAAATACTTAGAAGATGCTAGGATTTGTTATAAAAGTTATTTCATTTTTTCTCTTTGAAAAATATACTAATATATTGTCTTCATCTGTTAGTTTTCCAATCTTTGAAAATCCATATCCCATGGACATTCATGAATCACCAGTTACATGCACAGCATACTTTGCTGATTGCCCACCAGATCTGATTCTAGTACTCTACTCTATAGGAGTCAAGCATAAAAAACAAGGATACAGTAATAAGGTAAAAGTAACAAATTTCCTGTTCTTTTCTGACCTTCCCTATAAGAAGACTTGAACTAAATTCTTTTGAGGTCATAAGCTGGTCTCCATAAAAGACATAACTTGTGGAATTTAAAATTTCTAAATACTATATAGCCTTAAATCTGCAAGAATATAAATTTCTTATATACTTAGTATATGCTTATATAATGAGATATACTTATTTCTCATACATATTTATATACTAAGTATATAAACGAGTGTAGTTTTTAATTATTTTAGGACAAGGAGTATGGTTTACAAAATTCATGAGTCAACTCTTTTCAGTTAATTATTTCTTATTCAGTGGTTAACAAGGCATAATTAACAAAGTCATTTATTAAATAACTATCTAAATTAATTCCATTTTTTTGTATTTAACTACAGGATTCAAATACTTAAAACAGTAATAGACTATGATTTGTATTTGCACAAGGCTGTTGGAATGGGCAACTCTGGGGGTACAATTTACATAGTATTCTGTGTTAACAGAACTATGATATTTTGGTAGCACACAGGCTATGTTGCAAATGTAGCAACACTGTATCTGTATGATTAAAATACTTTTAAAGTACTTTGAATATATATTATCATTTATATAAAAATTTATATTTTAATGAGATGGAATTGTACATTTGGGATTGTTCAATTAAAGAATTAAAAGATAGCATACACTTCATCCTTGTTAATATACAACTATTTCTTTGTAAAGTGAATCTTTTTCTGTATTTTAAAATGTTTTTATTTAAAATTTTTATGCCATTTAAATTTTAAAAATAAAACTCATAAATTCTTCCTGGATAATCTATTTAGGAGTGGCCCATCAGTGGAGGAGCGTGGAACCTTGGAACACAAACATATCCAGAAATTATTATTACTGGGTAAGTGGGATGTGATTTGTGACTTTATCAATTCATCAGCAAAAAGATGTTCTAGACAATACCAGAAATAGCACTACTTCCTATAGCAACTGACTTCATGCTCTAATATTAGGAATGAAATTAGAGACATAACAACAGATATAGATGACATTTAAAAGATTATAAGGGCCTCTGTTTATGAGATACATAATAAATATACTTTTTCCTATAGTACTACCCAAAGCCCTGGGTATTATATATTAAACAAACATAAGATGACTGGAAAAGATGGAGAGAAGTGAAGGTGTTTAGAGCCCCCAACACTCAAGAAATGATATGGTGGTAAATGTCCTGGGTTTTCTTTTTGCTTCATATATCCCAGAATTGGAGCTGAGGAAGCTGGCAACTGCCAATGGGCACAGACAAAACAATAAAAAAGCCCAACAAAACTAGCACTCTCTAGCCAAATGATGAAGTAAGGGGCAACCTATCAAGACAGAAAATTGTTAGAAATTAATCTCTCTAACCACCAGAAAAAAAACTATGCCCTACAACAACCCACTCAAGCAGAGGGAGCATCAGTTTCTGACATTGAGCAAGAGCTGAATAGGGAACTTTCTAGCCCTTCTGGGTGGTAATGAAACCCATCACCTATGGTGTTAGAGGAGATCATGTGGGCAACCATAATCAACCACTGCCCAGTGGTACGAGGAACCACACATTTTCCTCTTCTTGGGCCACTGCAAGTCCAGTGAGGATGGAAAGAAGAAAGAACAAGACTGAAAAATTACATGAGGAATAATAGCTGAAAACTCCCCAAATTTGGCAATAAACATGATCCTATAGATTCCAGAAGCTGAATGAACAAGTAATCTACAAGATACATCATAGTCAACAAGAGAGAAATGATGCTTTACTGATAGTGCAAAACCAATTGGATGACAGTGGATTTCTCATCAAAAACCATGGAAGCCAGAAGAAAATCTGATCTGTTTGAAGTGCTGCAATAAAACAATTGGTAATCCAGAATTTTATACCTAACAAAAATATCCTAGAGGAAATATTTAAGGCAATTACAAATGGGAGAGGATAAAGTAAAGTGAAGGGAGCAGGTTTTTACACTTACCTCAAAATGGTAGTATGATACCAGAAGACAGTGACAAGTTATAAATATATAATGTTTTAAAAAGTTTTAATGTTTTAATATGTTTAATGTTCACATTAACATTAATTAAATTATGTTAAGTTAATTTAAACATAATGTTTAATATGTTCACATATTTTTAATGTTTTAATAACCATTAAAAATATGTGAAAAGATACACTAAAAGACATTATTGGCACGTAAAATGCATGCATTAAATAATTGAAATAACCTATAGGAAGTCAGGGGAAAAGAGTGGGAAAAAAACCCAAACCAGACAGACTGAAGCCCTAACATATCTATGATTCCATTAAATATAAATAGTCTAAATATACCACTTCAAATGCACAAATTGGCATAGTGGATTAAAAACATGACCTAACTATATGCTATTTACAATATACTTCAAATATAACAGATAGCCAGGAGAGAAACAATGGGAAAATACTCCATAAAATAATCAATGGAGAGTGACATCTGTAAGATGTTAGAATAAATAGCCTAGATGTAACAACAAGATATGTTAAAAAAAAAAAAAAAACTACTTAATGAAAATTCCAGAAATTAGTTAGGAAATCATAGTACCCCAGCCAGGATGAAAGCCTAGAATAGCCACAGCCATCTCATTTCATCTCAACTGTGTCTGCTCTTCCTCCAAATTATTACAGCTCACGTTCAGGAAGAAAGTAGAGAAGTGGAATATACATTCAGTGTTCCTCCTTTTCTGGGGGGAATCCCTAAATGACTAATTCAGGCAAGACAGAATCTAGAGTACTGATGAAACATGGATGCCTGGAGGCAGAGAATAAAAGAGTTTAGTGGTTTGTTGAAGCACCAAAAAAAATTGCAGTACTGCCAGCAGACAGTAAAGGGAGCAAAAGACTGCAAGCCATCAAGATAAAGAAACCAGAAACCTCTCTAATTAGGAAATTATACACACAAACCCAAAGAAGACACATCCTCATTAAAAGTTTGAGAAGTCCCCAGGATCTCTGCTACCTGGACTGATTGGTGAAGGTCTTCTCCTGTACAAAATCTATTCATAAAAGATAGCTCTAATGCTAAATTCAAAATAACAAGAAATAACAAAAAACACAAAAAAATAGTAAAATATGGCCCAATCAAGGAACAAAAAACACCTCCAAAAGCTGACCCCAAAGAAATTGATATCTGTGAATTACCTGACAGTTCAGAAGAACTGTCTTTTTTTTTAATAAATTAACTTTTATTGGTGTTCAGTTTACCAACATACAGAATAACACCCAGTGCTCATCCCGTCAAGTGTCCCCCTCAGTGCCCGTCACCCATTCACCCCCACCCCCCGCCCTCCTCCCCCTCCACCACCCCTAGTTCATTTCCCAGAGTTAGAAGTCTTTATGTTCTGTCTCCCTTTCTGATATTTCCCACACATTTCAGAAGAACTGTCTTAAAGAAGTTCAATGCACTCTAAGAGTACAAAGATAGACAACTAAATAAAATCAGGAAAATGATAAATGAATAAAATGAGAATATTAATAAAGAACTACTACAAAAAAGAACTAAAAAGATATTTTGGAGGAAAGTACTGAATTGAAAAATTTTATTATGACTGAAAACTTCCCAAATCTAAGTAAATGAACATACACATTCAGAACCCCCAAATACTCCAACGAAGGTGAACTTAAAGAGGCCTACATTGAGATAGATCATAATTAAATGAGCAAACACAAAGAAATAATCTTGAAAGCAGCAACAGAAAAGCTATTCATCATGTATATGGAAACTCCCACAAGATTCAGTAGATTTCTCAGCAGAAACACTCTGGAATTGAAGGGAGCAGGTTGATATATTCAAAATGCAAGAAGAAGAAAAAAAAAGGCAGGTTTGAATACTGTATCTGGAAAACTACTTTAAAAATAAAAGAGAAATAAAGACCTTCCGAGCTAAAAGCTGAGAATGTTTATCACCAATACACCTGCCTTACTAGAACTGCTAAAGGGAGTCCTTCAAGTCAAAATGAATGAATGTTAGACAGCAAAATGAAAGTATAAGAAAATATATAGACAAAAAATCCTGTAACAATATAGTGGTACTATATAAATAACTTTAAATTCAGGTTTAGAATTTAGAAGATAAAGGAATTTAGAAGATAAAGGCATTTTTAAAAAATTATATAAAACTACATCAATAAGAGAGAGGATTAAAATCATGTGAACATTTCAGTAGATGCAAAACATTTGACAAAGTACAGCATCCATTCACAATAAAAATCCCCAAAGTAGGTCTAGAGAGAACAAACTTCAACATAATAAAGGCCTTATTTGAAAAATCCATTCCTGACATTATAATGGTAAAAAACTGAAAGCTTTTTCCCTAAGATCAGGAACAAGACAAGGATGTCCACTCTGACCACTTTTATTTTATTCAATATAGTATTGGAAGTCCTAGCCACAGCAATTAAGCAACATCAAAAAATAAAAGGCATTTTCCATATTGGCAAGGAAGAAATAAAACTCACTATTAGTAGGTGCCATGATACTATACAGAGAACTGATAAATGAATTCAGTAAAGTCCCAGGGTACAACATCAAAGTACAGAAATTTTTGCATTCCTATATACTAATGATGAAGCAGCAGAAAGTGAAATTAAGAAAACAATCCCATATATCACTGCATCAAAAACAACCAAAGAGATAAAAGACCTATATCCTGAAAAGTATAAAACACTGATGAGAGATTCAGGATGGCACAAAGAAATGGAAGGACATTCCATGCTCATGGATTGAAAGAGCAATTATTATTAAAACATCTATACTACCCAAAGCAATTTACAGATTTAATGCAATCCTTATCAAAATAACATCATTTTTCACGAGGTAGTAAAAACAATCCTAAAATTTGTGTGGAACCACAAAAGACCTCAAATACCCGAAGGAATCTTGAAAAACAAAAACAACAACAAAAAAGAAAAAAACAAAAACAAACAAAGTGTCACAACTCTAGATTTCAAGTCACATTATAAAGTGGTACTAACTAATACAGTATGGTACTGGCATAAAAAATAGATACATAGAGCAATGGGATAGAGCAACAATGACCAAAAAAAATTTAAAAACAGAAATAAACCCACAATTATTTGGTCAATTAATCTTCAATGAAGGAAAAATGAATATAAAATGGGAAAAAGACACTCTCTTCAACAAATTGGGAAAACTAGACATCCAGATACAAAAGAATGATCCTGGACTACTTTTCACCATTCACAAAAAATAAACTTAAAATAGATTAAATACCTAAATGTGAGACCTGAGACCATAAAAATCCTTGAAGAGAGCACAGGAATAATCTGTCTGACATCAGGCATAGTAAAATTTTCTAGATATGTCTCCTGAGGGACAAAGTAAAAAATAAACTATTTGGATTATATCAACATAAAAAGCTTCTGCATGGTGAAAGAAACAATCAATAAAACTAAAAGGCAAGCTACAGAATGGGAAAAGGTATTTGCAAATGACATATCTGAGAAAGGGTTAGTATATAAAGAACTGGTGCAACTCCAGGTCCCCAAAACAAATAATGCAATTAAAAATGGGCTGAAGACATACAGATGACCAACAGACACATGAAAAGATGCTCGACATCTCTCAGCATTGGAGAAATACAGATCAAAACTACAAAGACATAGTACCTCACACCTTGTCAGGATTACTAAAATCAACAACAAAGAAAAAGTGTTGACAAGGATGTGGAGAAAAACGAACCCTCTTATACTGTTGGTGGAAATGCTAACTAGTGAAGCCACTCTGGAAAACAGTATGGCAGTTCCTCAAAAAATTAAAAATAGAACTACCCTATGATCCAATAATTGCAGTACTGGGTGTTTACCCCCAAAATACCA